TGTTGGGACTCTGTAGTGCCATCAGAAAATGTCAGCAGAGCCATTTTTGGAACAGCCATAATGGCCTTTTAGACGGCACTGACAAACAACCTATTTTCGTGTTTAAGTGTGAGGACTTGTGGGATAAACAAAGTGTGTTTCACTCAAATATGCTGACTCCTTCATTTGCGGCCGTTCCGTCTCTGAATGGCTCTCCATGCTGAGTAGCTAGATGAGCCTCCTGAATTTGCAGCAAAACTGCTGTCAAAGCTCTCATTAATAATTTTCACCGCAGCCTTCATAATTCTCGACCACAGACTGTATATCTCGACCCAGAAGAGGAGAGGGGGGACCAGGAGGAGGGGAGGAGAAAAACAAGGAATCCTTTAATGCAGATTCACAAGAGAGTGGTATTACTGGATGACCTCTGTATTTGGTAAAATATGTATGATGAGGGCTGTTTGGTGGGTGAAAACGAGAGGAAAGAGGGGAGAAACTGATCTATTCTGTGACTGCTATCTTTGGCTCATACAGAGTCAAAATCAAACAAATCTTTCCAATTACAACATTTAAAATGCAACAAAACCCACTCCTGACTCTCATCTGTAAAGTGAAATGTCTCATGTAAACTTTGTTCCCTACTCCAGCTACAGCCTGCAATGCGCTGCAGTGTGGACTGTGGTTATCTGTGAGCCCTGACACTGAGGGGCAGCTGTTTATATTGAACATGTGCCTGAGTTTAAGCTGCTCATCTCGATGCTGCACATGTAACGCTTGCACTGCCTTCAACTCTTCACGCCCGGCATTGAGTTCATATGTCAGAGAGCAGAGTGGTGAATCTGCTGCTAATCAGCGCTTCTTTATTTTTTTATAAGCCTGCGTTGATAGACACGATGCTGCTTTTGCAACACAAGTGTGCAAATTGGAATTTGAAAAAGGTGAAGTTATAGATTGAGGAAGGAGTAGAGAGGCAGAGTGCATGAGCTAGACAGAAGCGATATTGGTGACTTTAAAAACTGCACACTCACAACTATAACTCAGAGTTGGAGGCAGTGGAACGACCAGGCATTGCTATTGATTTATTGACTGTCCATTTAGAAAGGAGTATCAGCCCACAGCTGAGCCGTGGTACCGCTGCTGTTATCAAGTGGAAACTTGTGAATTATGGTTGTGCAAAGATGAACCTCTACCGGTTGTTATCACGTTAACCTACGCCTTAGTTCTTCAAACCCATGAAGTCCAGGGTCATGACTGATGGCTCTGGGCATTATGATAATCTCCTTAGCCACCCATCTTACACATATTTCTCTACTCTCATGATAGCCTAGGACATGTATCATTAGCTCTTGTAAGGGCCTTCTTACCTCTAATCTAATCCTAATTTCATCTCTAAATCCATCTTTTAAACTAATATCTTTATTCTTTCCTAATCCTAATCCTTCATAACTTTTTATCCCTGTCAAGGACATTGCCATGTTATAATGACAACAAAAAAGAACCCCCTGTATAGGACTGGGCAATATGATGGTATATACGGTGCGACAGTGAAAGTGTGTCCACAGGTAGAGATTTAACAGTACTGTTTCTACCATTCCAGATTGGACGACTTTTTTGTGGTTTGTCAGCTACAGCCACCCTCCACTGAATGTAATGTTAGTCATAGACCAAGCAATATGCTGACTCTTAAGTTCAGGCATCCTTTCATTTTTACCACTATATTTGGTCTTATTGGTTCAAAGCATGGGTAATTGGATTTTTAATTTTGTCCATGGTTCTTTGTATCTCATAAAAACTCTCAAATCCCAACAAATCAACACTTGACTAGTCTGAAGCACAGTGTTGTACTCAGCGCCCATTCTAGTGATGTCCTCAGCTAGCTTGTTAGAAGATGGCTGTGTACTACTGGTAAAAAAACAAAATACTATTTTTAGCAACTCTGGTGAATATCATGTTTGATTGCAGTGTCATATCTTGCCTTAGGTAAAAAACCCACGAACCACAGTCATATTGTTCAGTGTTTCATCTCCACTCTAAATCCTCTTCTGCAACCTTTATTAGTTGTACATGATTCATACATGCAGCACATTCCTTGCAGCTAGAATTACCACAATGAGTCCCTCACAGCTTTACATAAATACGCGAGCCAGCCCAGAAATATACTCTCTTCCATATGCATGTATCCATCTTTGTTCTGTCCCTCATTACGCCACAGTGAATTTCCCATGATATGTCCATGTAAAACTAAATAGCCTCAGCCAGAGAATACAGCGTAACATGAACCCCGTTCCCCATCTTAACACTTTCATCTGGAATGTAATTAGCGCAGCAGCAAGAAGCTTAGCGCTCCGCCCTGCTCTCAGCCCCAACCAAGGTAACTCTAGGCAGCCCCTAATCCTCACAGCCTAATGGGATTAGCTCCGGAGGGAAGGGAACCCATGTCACACACACAAATACATTCAAAATCCCAACCCCTCCTCCTCTGTCTCCCTATCCATCTCTCTCTCTCTCTCTCTCCTTCTCTCTACGGCACTCCACTATCTGTCTAATAGGATTAGACCAAAATTGGCCATTTCTTAAAAATCATATCTGGTCCACTCAGTGTCATCATGCTGATGATGATGGGATGGAAATAATGAGCTCTGAATTATGACTTATTCAGTATGGACGTGAAGTATAGTGATCATCTATGGGGAAAGACCTAACTCTAAACTGATTCTAATTTTGCACTTTTATGTTTTTCAATTAGCATTTTGTTTTGATGGAGAGTTTTGGCCAATCATCAAAACTTTGTCTAAAGAGACATTCAGTTCTGACAAGAAGAACATTAGGAAAAACATGGAAACAGTGACACTTAGAGGATTTTTTCCCCAAAAAAGTTTGAGATATTCACTTCAGTTCAAAAATCCATCGATCAGAAACATTACAAACCATTTGTATGAGCTGTGGAAAATACCTGTGTCTGTTTTTGGGTGGGACAAGAAAGTGTCTGTGTGTAGGACTGAGTACTCTACATGCATAAAGGCAAGCATTCACAGAAAGCTTCCAATTCAAAACTACATATACATAAACCTGTGCAACCTAAGCATTCACTTATGTATGCAGCACAGAGCAGGTTGTGCTCATTGAGTACAGTACTTGCATACACAGCAAACTGCATAGATGCACAAACATGCAAGTATGTGAGGTACATATTAATAAATGTGAATCTCCCTTTAACACCACAGCATGATATTGGAAGATCCTTTTTTTCACTGATGCTAACAATCCAAACTTTTTACAGAAAATTTTCTGGCATGTTTGCCTACATATTAGATAGGCCTTTTATATATACTGCAATAGATTTTACCAGCTGCAACAATGTTGTGACGGCTGGTACTGTTTTTACCTTGTGAGTCTGTGTGTATGTTATCATGGTGAATGTGGTCCAGGTGACAGTGACTATTGTAGTAGGAACTACCACAAAAGTAGTTTTGAGTATTTTGCCAGTAGTTTTTATGTCTGTCTGTAGACAGATTTTGTCAACACAATAGCAGTCACAGAACTTTACAGGTGTGTAGTTGAGAAAAAGAAAAAAAGCAGAGTGGGGCATTGGTGGCTTAGTGGTAGAGCAGGCACCCCATGTACAAGGCTGTTGCTGCAGTGGCGCGGATTCGAGTCCAGCCTGTGGCCCTTTGCTGCATGTCATCCCCTCCCTCACTCCCCCTTTCACACTTGTCTGTCTTGTCCATTGAAGGCAAAATGCCCAAAAAATATCTTAAGAAAAAAAAAAAGTTTGAAGATGGGTGTGGTTCAAGTAAGGGGGGGTCAGACATATGAGGGTAGGAAGTAAGGCAGGGGCCACTGACCACCCAACTTTATGCCCCTGGCCCACATTTGTTCTAAGTTGCGTATCGCAGCTTGAGTGATCCCATAGCAAGTTGGGTTAGAGTCTTTTTTGTTAATAATATTTCATATATTTTTGTATTTAAAAGTAACAAACAGATAAGAAAATAAAATATGTATTTTTATATTATAACTTGTATTAAAATATCAAATATAAGTCATGTCAAAACAACAAAGAAACAGACATGGAAGTTTGTGTTTGACTTTAGGGACCAGTAGATTTTATAAAATATTCTATGCTTAATCATCTCATTATCTAACTGAAGTTTATACCCCATCTAATGTTCTTTAAGCAAATGGAGTTACCATCAAGTGCGAAACCTGATCACATAATAACAGGTGGTTGTACATGCTGGGAGGAATAAATCATTTGGAATGATCTTTGCCATCAGACATGAATGGCCTACTTGATAACTGTAAGTTGGCCTTTAAGTTTAGGCCTATTCACTTATGTTGACACATGTTCAACACAGGTCAGGTGGAGGGTGCTAAAACCAGCTTGGCTCACCTTAATCAGATCATCCAACAATTCAGGTTCAACTCACTTTACTGTGCTCGCCTGAATGAAGTACAACAGAGATAAGTGACGGGAAAAATGGGAGGGCAGACTGCACGTGATGTGATGTGTCCTTGGCCAGACATTGTGGTTGCAGACTTACATGGTATGCACTATAGACTGCTAAGCCCCATGTCTCACATCCAGACACACAGATGTGCAAACACAAAAACACACACACTGCAGCTGCAGTACGGAGTCATTCCAAATCACAGCTCCATCTCTGATCCCAACGCGGTGACGCTCTTGAACGAAAGCCCGGCCACGGAGACCCTGAGGTGGGTGCTGCTCTGCCAACAGCTGGGTCCTTTCCAGCACCCCCGAGTCTTATTCATGGAGACCCATCGGCTCTCATCACTCATCGGCCAGACTCCCCCGCAAACAAGCGCCGATACACATGTATACACACATGCATGCATGCTCTCACACACACATACACACACACACACATACACATACAGACTAATCAAGGACATCAGGCAAAGTGAAACTTGATCTGCGAAAACAAGCTAATCAGATTTGCTTCAATTTGATGTGTGCTCTGGATCTGGGAGTGTGGGTATATGTGTGTGTATGTGTGTACCTAATCCAGGTCATGAGCTCCACAGTGTCTGGATCATAAAACTCCCTCAGTTCTGATAACTCCTCCATCAGCTTAGGCCAGAACTAGAGGGAAACAGACAGAAACAAGTGATGGAAAGCCCTGTGTTAGCGTTCATTAAGGCCACAAAGCAGAGGATCAAACCTGCTATAGCTTAAACAACACATTATTACCTCACTGAAAATAACAGTGTGTGTGTGACTGTATTTTTTACTCTTTGAATGACAAAATAAATTATTTGTTATCATCCAATTGCTTGTTATCATTTTCTTCCACAACTTCCATTTCAGGTATTTTCCTTTTCTCATATCGTTGCCCACAGTTTTTTACAAACGGCTCTGTAATGAGACCAAAAATACAACGATGAACATAACCCACAGAGAAGATGGCATACCTTGTAATACAGGCAAGTGATCATCAACAGTGGAACTGCATATCTGACGAGCCTTAACTGCAAAATGAGAGACAAAAAACAGCTATAATGAAATGAGAGAATCTAATCGAGAAAGTGAGAGAGTCAGACAGAGATACACCTCAAAATGAAGACGAGCACAGAATGAGATAACACAGAGATAACCGACAGACAGAGCAGCACTGCTCACACGGATCGTTTCTTATCTGATCCATGCTGTTGTCATGTTATGACCACACTGACACCTAGTGGCCTCACTGGTAATGTTATCACCAGGCCAGAGCAGAGGCTGAGGATTCAAATGCAGCTGGTCATCAGGCAGTGTAACCATTCACCTTCATGTCACACCAGCGAATCACAGGAAAGAGGTGAATGAGATATTTTCTGATAGCGTCTCACAATGGTGCTGTCAAAGTTAGAGATCAACACCCTGGTTACTGGAGGCTGGTGGTGGACAGAATGTTGGTTGACACTAGTACTGGGTATCAAACCTAAGTACTTTCTGAGCACCAACCAACATGTCAGTATTGACTATAAAAACTGTCAGGTATCAGAAGTTGGCGCTGAATGTTTGCTCAGATTCTTAGTCATGTTTACTTAATTTCTGTTCAGATATTTCCTAATCTAAACAACAACATATTTTACACAGCATTTAATCTAGCAAATGTTCTCACAAGGCTGCTTATGTTTACTCACTGATACTCTAACACAGGGGTCCCCAACCTTTTTAACGACTGAGATTTACCTGAAGAGTAGATAGTTATATGGAGGGCTGCTTTTTTAATATAATCTTCCCAAAAATATTTGCTCAGTTTACTTTTCAATAATGAATATTGAGTATTTAATAGGCCATATATATTAGGCTAATATCTATGTTTACTGATTACTGTTAATGGTTCCTCACAATAATTATTAATAATATTTTACCAAGTGATCATAGGAAAACACACACACACACACACACACACACACGCAAATTTAATGATTAACCTGTTAATTTATCTGTAATTTGAAAGTCAAACAGGATCATATTACTCACATTTGCAAAAGTTTTACAAATTTGAAGTATTTAGAAATGTATCTATTTCAAGGTACAAATTAGGGATGCCCATTAATATCAGCATGTCACTGGTATCTGCTGATGATGACCTTAAAATGATTTGGTCAACATGCTCTTTCTTATTTTGCACAATGACTGAATATTATATGTATTGAAAAGCACTGTATTTCATTTCTCCATCTGCTGGTGGGCCATCACAAACACAGTATGCATGCATAACATGATGTTAATTCCACTACAGCTGACACTTGATGACTAAAATTAGCTGGTTATCAGCCAAATAATTTGTTATATATTGGCATCATCAAAAAATCCAATATCATGTGTCCCTGGAACAAATACAAGACATAGACTTTGAATATCTCTAAACTGATACTATAAAAATGCTTGACTTTGTGTTTCTATATAGTCAGAGATGTCCTGAACTCAAATGTATGTATACATTTTTTTCTAGCAGTGCGAAGGTGAAAGAACAAAGACATTTCTCTCACAATTCAGAAGTATTTTCTTTTCAACTTACGTATGTTCAACAACACGTTTTATACTTTTTATGAATATTATCCAATTAATCTTATTTCCATATATGTATTTTGTAGATACCCTTTGTTAACACCTCAATTTAAAAAAAGGACCTAGTCAGACATCTTTCCACTAACTTTACAAAGTCCATCGGAAGCTCTTGTGTCACTGCCCGATCTGTATCAAAAACCAGATTAGTTCTACACATGTGCAAAGATGGCTTGGGTTAGGCATGGACCTTGAATAGTTCAGATCAGGACACTCTCATAAGCCGCTACGAAAAAATTTTACCTTACTGTTTCATGGTGTGACAATGCTGTGGTTAAGGTCTGGACAGGTTTAGGCACAAAAAGCCCTTGGTTAGGGCTCGTTTTAGGGAAAGATCATGGTATAGGTTCAAATGATCCCTTGGAACAGTCACTTGGAGTTTTCACGAGTCTGAGGTTACCATCTAGACACAATCCTTGATCTAAGCCACTGGAATGCATTTACCATAAATTTCAGTATATGGGTGCACTACAGTTGTAGCGCCATGTGGTTTGACCAAAGAGATGCGAGTGATGGCTGGCTTGAACGCAGTTATTTTTAGAACATGACCTGAGGGCACCTCAGTGGCTCCCTGTGGGCGACCAGGCACTCAGGGGTACTGTGTTAGCTACTCCTGTTAAAACGTGTTTGGTATATTTTCTTTAAAATGAAAGCAAGGTCCTGTAGCTAAATGTGTACATTCCTGAAACTAAGGTACTTAAAAAACAGTACTGATACTGAAACACAGACACAGACATTGTGTTCATATTGAAACAGATGATACCCAGCCCTAGTTATCATTTCATTCACTTCAGTAACAGATGCTTCCACTGTATCATGGAGACTAAGACATAGTTGGCCAAAACTTGAAATGTGTCTGAAATGAGGCTTAGAAAAGCTGGTCTCTGACTGGAAGGCTGCTCAATCCAATCCAGATGGGACCAGACGGAATCTGGTTAACAAACTGAGAAAGAACAAAAAAAAATCAATTTCCAGCTGCTCAAAAACATTTGTATAAAGTGTACTTGAACAATAAATGTTTCACTATGGCTACCCAGTTGTCAGCAGCATGGGGCTGTGATTGAACTGGTGGTTGAAAAGTAGGCACCTAAGATTAGTGTCACCAAATCAGTATCTGACTGAATGTCTCCCCTTCTGTTCCTAAGTCCTAACGGCTAAGTGTTTTTGCAGAAAAATCACAATGTCACAGTGAAGTTGACCTTGAACCTTTTGAATATAAAATGTCATCGCTTTATCATTTTATTCTATCAGAAATTTGTATGACGTTTTGTTATAATTGGCATACAAACTCTTGAGTTATGGCCAAAATCATGTTTTGTCAGGTCACAGTGACCTTAACCTTTGGCCATGAATTCTACTCAATTCATCATTGAGCATAAGTGAAAGTTTGTGCCAAATCTGACGAAATTCCCTCCAGGCCTTGTTGAGATATTGTGCTCCCAAGAATGAGACGGACATGAGGTCACAGGGACTTTGACCTTCACCACCAAAATCTTATCAATTCATCATTGAGTCTAAGTGTGCCACAATTGAAGAAATGCCCTCAAGGCGTTCTTGATATATCGCATTCACAAGGATGGGACGGACGGACGGACAGACAACCTGAAAACTTAATGCTGTCACTGGTGCGGAGGCATACGAATACTGATTAGTGCAGCTTTAAAAGTAAATGTGTGTTATTAAAAAACTACTATCCTGTAGAGTGAACATCGTTTTTTAAGTCAAATATCAATCTTTTCATGTCAAAGAAAAAGAAAATAGTGGAGCAGATGTTTGGAGCTGGAAGTGCAGCTGTTGGGAGCTCTTACCAGAACTTTAGTGTTGCAGCTGAGAGTGTTGAGAAGCAGAGTCCACAGTTCCTTCCCACACACACCATAGGCCGCGACTGCACACATATGGCCAGTCCATATATATTTCATCCTGGGTAAATAGTGGGTGACAGAGACAATATCAAGCAACGTTGGGTGTTAAAGATTTTTTTAAATGTGGTTAAATTTACACTTACTATAAACTTTCTGTGCAAGTAAAGTAGCAAATTAATGTTATTCCAGTGTGTATCTTATGATGGTGTGTGTGTGTGTGTGTGTGTGTGTGTGTGTGTGTGTGTGTGTGTGTGTGCGTGCATGCCGGTATCATTCTTGATGATAAAAGGACAGATTGATTATACAGCAGGTGAAAATGCTGCTCTTTAATAACGATGCCTGGACTTAAGGATGTTCCCTCAAGCCTGTAAAGAACATTAAAGTCAAACAGAACAACCAAACTGTCTTTAGCTGAGCGGATGACTTAATGAAACGGTTCCAATGTGGTTAAACTTAATTTGGTGTATAAAACACAGCATTATTACTTAAGTTCTGCTTCAAAGCACATAAATATGTGTTCTAAACAAATGAGAAAAAGATTAAAAGACAGAGAAGACTGAGGGAATGAAATGAACTGAAAAACTGTTGACAGGTACAGAGATGGAGCCGTGCGAGAGAGAGGAGGCATAAAGAAGTGCAGCCTCACGGAAATAAATCTCGGTACTTTTTAATGCAAAGGAGCTGTCTGACAGAAACGAATGGCTCTCTGCACTTTTGGCCTTTCGCTCTTCATCAGCATTTTAGAGAAATTGCTGAAATCAAATGTGTCAGTTTCTGCACTACCTGGCTGCTGCTGTATTAAGAGCTTTCAGATTTGTCTCCTTTTGTGCATTTGTACATGTACAATGTGCATTAAAAATACCATTTAAAATCCTGCCCACCACATATACTCCAATTACCACAAGAACACAGTGTGCTACTTACGTGAACCTTTGTAAACCTGCATCACCATGTTGCTATGAGTAAACCAAATACGAGAATATTCCCTTTTTCTCTTTGACTGAATAATTGCAGGTTTCTTTTAATACCGGAAAAAGAAGTGATGATTCCAACTGTAATCTCTTTGCTTTTCTTGACAGTCGTCACAAAGAGCCTAAAGTTAAAAGGCAATTATACTTTTGCAATAATGAATCATGGATGTCAAGCATGGCAGCCTGTGTGTGCAGCTTGAAATGTGCTCAACCAAGCAATGTACTGATGATGCTGGCAACAAATACCATTTGACAATTGCACATTAAAGCTGGGAATCAGGCCTGGGAGGGTTGCAGTGCTTAAAATTATAGATGTGAAATGGAAAAAACTGCATGGCACACAGTTGTGTAACCCTGTACAGCTAATAATGAAGCATTGTGCAAAATTGGTACTGTAGCTGTACCAGTACAGGATATAACATAATTTGGTCGTGATAAACACCAGCAGGGGCCTCCTCACCTACAAAACCAGCCATCTGCATGCATTTTTCTATTTATAATTCATGATGTCATTGAAATAGTTTCAGCCAAAATTACTTGTAATGTTTGTATCCCGTACTTTCTTTTTTTTTTAAAGATATTTTTTGGGGCATTTTTAGCCTTTATTTGATAGGACAGACAAGTGTGAAAGGGGGAGAGAGAGAGAGGGAGTGACATGCAGCAAAGGGCCACAGGCTGGAGTCAAACCTGGGCCGCTGCAGCAACAGCCTTCTACATGGGGCGCCTGCTCTACCACTAAGCCACCGACGCCCCGTGTATCCTGTACTTTCAACCACAAGGCTTTGCAAAAAATAAATAAAATAAAATTTAAAAAAAATTCTGTAACAACATTCATGATAATAGTTGCACATCTTTACGGAATTGACTGACCGTTATTCAGTGAGCAACATCATCCCCAGAAATAGGGTCTAAAAAAAAAACTACTAATGAGTGACTCATTAGCCTGACTACTGAAAATACCCATTCTGACTACAGATATTAATGAGTTCACAAATTTTAAGAGTGACTTAACACTGGGTTAAAGAACAGTGTTTGCTATGGTCTCTGGGGAAAAGCTTCAAGACAGTTTCGCCTCTGATTAGAGATAGGGATCACAGAGTAACTCACTATACTATATGTTGCTGTGTGCTATCACGATTCAGCGATTCTGTGATACTTAATATATTGCAAGACAACCATCTACAATGCATCATAATGTCTGTGTAACTGAAGACGAAGAAAAAATATCCCTACAACTGTTCTGATGATATACTGTTTAAAGGACGAAAAAGGAAGCTTTGCTCTTAACGCTGTATTCATTGTGGGCTGAGGTACAGTTCAGGCAGCGTTAACCGTTTTCTCCATAATGAGATCAGAACGAAGACGAATCAGGTAGCTACGCATATTTGTTGTTTTGCCCATGTAATTTACTTTCACAAGACAGTTCTTGCATATCCTGTGGACTTCACTGATTTTGTTTGTCCCATCTGTGTTGTAAAAGCCCAAGTGGGCCCAGTCTTAAATTCTGAAAGATGACGATGCCTCTCTGATTTGTTTTCCACTGCTGTTTGCACTGTCCGCCATTTTCCTCCTGCGAGTTTCTTCTTCAACGCATGTCAACTTTACCCCCATTTGTTTGATAAGTAGTACCACAAGGAGTCTTGAAGTCATGACTCTGGTAAATCAAACTGGCAGAAGACTCCATTTAGAGCGCCTGCATGTTCTTGTGAAGATATCAATATTTGGCACCAGTGTATCGATAATATATCACAAGAGAAAGTATTACGATACATTCCTATGTCAATATTTTTATCCCAACCATACCTGTGACCACGTTCAACAACTAACGCTGGGTTGGGTGTGGTCCAAAATGTGCTTTGTGGCACTTATAACCACATCCAACAATGATGCTAATGAGTCCTGGAGTATACCTTTACTTCACTCCAGCAAGAGGTTGAACCACTAGAGGTCAACATAAACAAGATTTTCAGATGCGGGGTAGTTACTCTTTAAACACATGCAAATGCATGACAACCAAACTAGACAATATCAAAACACTAAAAAAATGTTTAATAATGAATGATTAATGTTTAATAACAAAAAATAACATTCTGAGGTAAGAAACAGGCTGTACATCAAACAGAAAGCCTGCACTGAGTGGAAAATTGAGGCAGCTGTTGCAGAGGTTGAGGCCAGTCAGCTGAGATTGTTTGGTGGTCATAGTTCTGGTGTGACCAACAAGAGCAAATTTGTCGGGAGCCAGCATGTCACAGTAGCAGTAAAATCTGCCAGCTCAGGGAGATGAAACATTTTGGGCATTAAAAAATAAAAAAAGTAGCTGGATATGAAAGTCGACCGCAAGAAAGGTGTTTCTGTTCAGTGGTAAAGCCTCAGTGCCAGCAGTGGTGTCAGAACTCTCACCCCACAGCCAGAGTCTGGCGTCTATAGCTGGAGCCCCAGCGGTGGTGCTGTTCCACAGAGGGAACCTGCCAATGGATGATGCAGTAAGGTGAACCACAGAAACAGGCCGTGGTGTTTGTGTGTGCCAACAAGAGAGAGAAGCAACATAAAGCAGGAGAGGAATATGAGAGGGAAGGCTAATGGGGCTAATTGTCGGGAAAAAAAGCAATACACAGGGTGAAGTATTCTACAGTAGACAGTGCCATGTGTACTTTTTTCTGCCTCTGATTAAAGTTAAATAAACAGCAATTTAATTTTGACTTTCCAACTTGGCATGTGAAGTGGCCTCAGCGTTCTCCCAGCCCAATTTCGTGTGTAGGTTTATAAATGATCTCATAAGGGTGCTTACATACAGTCCAGAAGTTTCGTTGACTGCTTGCCAAACCCCTCCCCCCACCAAGTAACTGTAACTAGGCACAGCAGGCCCATCAACCTTTGGATTCCTCCACATGCATGGGGCTGTAGTAAGCAGTTGGAGGAGGGCATCTTTTTCCAGCCTTTCCAAAACCAAGTGCATGCATTTACCTTAGGTCTGTACAGCCATGCTTTGTCTTTAAATACGTTTGCAAACAAGTCATTCTACTTTCAATTTTCTTGAGTTACCAGTGTTGAGGGTGCTGCTGTTGGTTGCTGCTGCTCGAGGAATATATTCTCAGTCTGGAGAAAAGATGTGCTCACTAAAGCAGCGCTCTTAAATACAAGTAGTGGGTTAGAATGTACCAAGTGGCCACCACATCATGGGGAATGGGACTCATAATTTCTTTGGATATTAGATTGTTGGTGCTTTCGTTTTGGATAAATACATTAACATTTATATCAACAGACTAGTTGCCCAGTTTTGTTTAGCTTGTGGCAGTGTCTTTGTGTTAACCCCTTTATTTCAAAAATGTTCTCATCAGCCATTATAACTTCGCTAACTTCCGCCCCTGGATGCAGATTGACCAATCATAGCGAACCATCGGGCCAGCTCAGACCAGGGTCCGACAACAACACAGCAGTGCTCTATAGACTCTCATGCAGTCATTTCAAATTTTCTTCATTTTCAACCTGGTTGTCCCTGGGGCGTGTGTATTAATGACATTCCTTAACTAGAGAGGTTCGAAGGAGATGAACATTTCTTCCCCATTTCAAATCCTAAATCAAATCCTGAAAAGTGTAGGGTTACCTAGATAGCTAGCTAGCGAAGCTATAGCCTACTGACTGTATACACATGCTACTTCTGCTTTTTAACAATTGTAACACTGAATTAAGACCTAACCTGCTCTACAGGGACCAGTGAGGGGAGGCAGGGAAACTTTGCTGATATTTAACCAGCTGTGTGTCATCACAGTGCGTGCAGAGGAGTGGTGTTTGGCTTCCCTAGGAGCTTCCTGCCTGTCTGGCAGCGTAGGTCCCGGTGGCACAGGAGGGAAGCCAAACACCATTTATCTGCACACACTGTGATGCCATACAGCTGGTTCAATATTAGCAAAGTTTCCCTTTATATCTATTGTCTTCTGTCTTGAGGTTCACTTTTACACTGTCATCTGTAGCCTACAGTTCGGCTTTAGCTTCTAACTATCTTCATCTTTTTAACCTGTGTTGTGGTAACACAACGCTACTTCCAAAGTCAAGGTGAAGCCACAGCCAACATAACCTATGATAGACTTACATTTGCCAAATACATTGATTAGTTCTCATTCTAAAACACACTTTTGTTAAAAGTGAAAAGATACTGTTAAAAAGAACAGGTCTGTTAGCTAAGCTCAGACAGCGTTATGTTAGAGCAAAAGGAGTCTGATCTTACAGTTTTCCTTATGATACTTAAATTACCAGAACTTAAAAGCCTTCTATTCTTTAGCCTCAGTCTTCTAGCATGATACATGTAGCCATCAAGTGCATATCTACCATAAGACCCGTTTCACTTCTTGTCGAGTCAACCAGAGACAACTGACTATGGCAGCTAATGTTATCTTTTAAACTACCTACAGCTGATAAAATTTGCTTGTGACATTTAACCTACAAAATCAACCATCCCAGTAGAACTTAGATACTATCTTAAGTTAGCCTGAAATCAAGGACCAATTATTTTAAAAATTACTACTATTACTATTATTATTTATCATAAATCTGCCACCATTATTGTGAACTGCATGTGCAATCTTGATAGATGTAGCAACAGTAACCAAGAGGGATGAGGCTTAGTCAGTGGTCAGTTATGTTCTTGTGTTGTCTTGAGTGGTGCACATTACTACAAGCACTGACGCATGCGAGTCTGAAGTTTCAGGGTGTCACTCATACAGTTGTCAGTGGTCCAACTGTATCAGTTCTTTCTATTCCTGCTGTGTGATGACACTATCAAAGCCTTTTCTCATATGAACTTGTGGCACGCAATGGGAGATTGTCAGTGTCAAAAGCTTTTTAACCAACTAAACATACTCAGTTTGGTTTCGGTGAGGAATGCAGGAGGCAGGACATGACACAAAAAGTATGATGTGGAAATTGCAGTGATTTTAAGTAGCTGGTTTGTAATGTGGTCATAAACAACCAAGTCTCTTGGCGTTCTTTGAATTTGACAATTTCAGCTTTGGCTTTGACCAACATCTTGTCACCTCTTCAGTTTGACATTTTTGTTGGCGTCATAGTGTAAATGACCCTTTCTTCACCCTTGGATGTTTGTTTTCTTTGAGTTTTGCGGCAGTGGCATGGTCATCCATGCATCTGCTGGCTCACTTTTAATTCTATCGACTGTGCTCTCGTCACACATGGGCTCAGTGACACATTTCACAGACTTTGTACAAGCAAGCTGGCAGGGTAAAGTCTGTTTAATGCCTGGTCCATCTGATTTGGACACTTGCATACAGTTGCTCCAGTTAATGTCTAGATAAGCTCAGGGATGCAGTATGTGTGAAAGACGCTTCAGACACAAGCCACTATGGGATGGTGCTTGGCATGGAGGGCTGATCAAGGCTAAAGTGGACCACTCAGACACTTGGTGAAAAGCTTTTGAGAGGCACTTTCCAGGATTCCCGCATCTGCTCATGAGCATGCACAATCAAGAATCAAGCCGTCAAGTAGAAAAGTACATTTCAAGAGTCCCTGTCTGGGAATTAATCCAATGTGACTACTATAGAATGTGTGTCAATCCAGATATCTGCTTGTAAATGATCCTGCAACTACATGATCATGAGCTCACCTCATAGTGCTGAAAGCCAGGAGGCCATAGAACAGTGTATGCAACAGATTATAGGCCACATCTGGACGGAGAGCCACCACTCGCCCCTCTCCGGCTCCTTTCCTCTCCTCAGCTGAACCTCCTTTAGGTCTGCTGAGAAACGAAAAAGGCAGCGAGACAAAAGACAACAGTGATACATAAAACATTACAGCCAGACGCTTGAGAAGAGAGGCAGAAGGGTAGGTGGGTGGAATTGATATTATACAGATTATTCAGATTTCAGTAGCTGTTATTCAGATTTCATTAGCTGTTTGCGCACAAGGAGACACGCAATAATGCACACCCACGACCGTTTGTGTCTGCAGGAGTCAGCAAGCAGACAAATAGAAAAAAGGCCCGAGGGCAATGATGTCACTCCCACAATTTGGCCTCCCGTACTGAATCAGACGGACTCTGGCTTCAATTTGAATACAAATCCAATCTGTCTCTTCCTTCTACGTGAGGTGGGGTAAACTGGATTAAATTAAGTCCTGAATTGGCAAATAGCCCTTTGTTCCATGAGGTTAGTATTCTAGCCCTCCAACAGCAGAGGGCGAGTTGATATGCTAATGTGATTAGTTCAATGCGGCCCCTCACCTTGCACCACAGGCAAATGAAGCTTTGAAAGGCAGCTGGTAGAATATTCTGTTTTCCAGAGCATGAAGCAATAATGCTATTACTAAATCTGCAGTGATGTGCAGCAGAGACACAAGTGACTACCACTGGGTTTCTGACTTACGATAAAAAAACTATACCAACAAACATAAAGGGGATGTCAGAGACTGCACTGTAGATAACACCGTGTTATGGGTTAATCTTATTGAATGGTCCATAAAAGGTTGCCATATGTAATAGAGTATATCAACCTTTGCTCCAAGTGAAAATTTATTTTTTCTAATTCTAATAGTGTGTGTGTTTCATCACATCTTTCAGCAAAGCTCAGTGGGCTGGTGGTTTTTACTGTTTCCAGTTCAACAAAATTAGCTGCTTTCATTTAAACACTGCCAGGACTGGGTCTGAATTGAGTCGCTTCTGTAAAACCTTGGACAGAGTTTGTATTTTTAGTCAAATACCTTTGGCAGTTCAAAAACACGTGCTATTCAGTTCACACTAGAACTGAGCCCAGTGTGAGAAAGAGTCATAAAAGTGACTATTTTGGTAATGGTTCTCTTCCTTCTTGGTTTTTCCTTAACTGTAGATGACAACTACAGAATTCTGATCTTAATCATATCTAACGACCAAAACCTTTTCAGATGGAGATCCCTGAATGGAAATCTAATGAAATGGGGGTCCATGACTTAATGTGTCAACATTGTGTTATCAGTTTAGGGGTTCCTAACCACTTTATTATTGAAGCTGGTCCACATCAACCACAGGATGGATGTACTGTAGAAAACAACTTGGAGTGATTGAATGTATTTGAACAATTTGCATGTTAGTTCATTAATTCCATTTTTTTTTTTTTATAGTAACATCTATTGTCACTGTGTCAAAGTCGGTTAAAGGGAAATGGTTATGTTACCACAGTATTCTCAAAATAACATTTCAACCCTAGAATATGTTAAACTTGCATACATATACATATTAATAACTTTAAGGTAGATATGACGAACTTGTTAGCATTTAGTTACACCACAGACATGGAGCAAACTTAACAGTATTTTTATTATTGTATTCGTCCACCTGATGAAGGTAAGGCCAATGTTTACTATCCTATTAGCTATGTTTTGGTCTACACCAACTCCTGAGGGAATTATCTTTTGCTCTTTGGCTGATAAATGCACCACTATGTCCAGCAGGTAGTTACTATCTTCTATCAAATCTTTTTCACTGTCTACTGCATCAGGAAATTACACTGATAATAAGGGTGAGACCAAAACAGTATGAGCTGAAAGGTGCTTTTCCACTTCCGCATACAAGTAGTCTGATTTAAAATATTTTGGTGCAATAGAGTGCAGACCTTCATTGAAGCCTTATACCAATCTGGTTAGCTATTACTTGAGGTCAACATTGTACTGTTGTTGTAGTCATTGTTTGGTCTGATTGTTGTGCTATAACAGAAAAGTCATAGGGTCACCAAAAATCAATAGGTTGCTTTCTGTTTGAAGGGTAAATGCCCATACTTAAAAAACTTCAGACCAAACTGGTCATTAGCTTTCAGTCTACGTTGTTCACAGAGAAACAAACAGAAGGACAGGTGGAGGAGATTGCTCAACTGCCACCTGATAATTTACATCAACAGAGTGGAAGAGTAAGAGAAAACTTGGAAATTCTACTTTCAACTATCTGATTCATTTAAACATTATGGGTATATTGCCATGCACAGCCCCCCCCCCCCCACCACCACCACTACCACCACCCCCCAAAGTAGAGCTGCCAAATGCTTCTTTTCATGTGACATCAGTGAGTTTCAAGAGTTGCACAAGGACACCTTCTGCCTCTCCAGCCATCACCTACCTCAGGTTCTGCAGTGCAGCCACTGCCAACATGCCACTGAGCAGCAGCAGCGAGAGGATGTATGGGTATAGCAGCAGGGTACCAGCCAGGCGCTCCAGTGTGTCGAGGGGCAGCAGGCCAAAGGCCTCCTCACACAGATACAGACTGGCATCAAAATCCCTGTAGAAGGGGAGGTGAAACAAATGAAGAGAGAGGAGGGAGATGACACGAGGGAGGAATAGAGCAAGGGGGGAGATGGACATAAAAGATATGAAGATGACACAGTGAGGAGGGAGCAAACTTGTTAGCAACTGAAACAGTCTATGGAATAGTATTTGATGCTTAACATTTATTGCTGAGGTGCTCACTTGTCTATAAATCAGTGTGTGGAAGATTATGTTTTGGTTATTCTGTTGATAAAGCTTAGGTTTCTGTTAATTGCACTCATGCTACAATAACTACCCAGGACCTTGCTCCGTAAATGAGGCTTAACTAATCTAGACTAACATGTAGTTTATAGGCTAAAATGATTGTGTTCTCATGCAACTAATTTGGTTCTATGGATGTAGTTAGCGAATCAATTTGTTAATAAGGTTAATTTGATAACAGTGCAATTTTATTTTGAAATAAAGGCAACATGAGCAGAGCTGAAACCAAGATCAACAGTAATATGAAGTAAATATGGCACATGCACTTATATATAGAGGTGAAAGAAAATATCAATTTACTTGAGTATCACAATAATATGTTTTCTAATACTTTATCGATTCTCAAAAACACTTAGCGATTTTTGTTTAATAGTCCATATGCAAAGATTTGTCAGTGTTTCATTTTCTGTTGTGTTTTAACTTCTAACCGCTAGATCCTCCAGTGTTGTTATCTATCTTCAGTCATTTGACTCTTCTACTCTTTTCAACTCTTAACAACATCACTAGTGTACACACAAAGGACATGGGCCTATGAAACAGGCAGTGTAAAAACATCGCAACAGGCAGAGTTTAAAATCACACTATATCACCTCACAACCAGTATCTTAATATATCACAGTTTATATAGACACTGTGTCATGATCCATATCGTATCGCAAGATTTTTGCCAATGCACAGCCCTTGAGTTCTCAACAAACCAAAAAATTACAACCCGAATCGAACCAAGCCGGTGAGTTGAAGCCTGAAATCTGCTCGTCTGAGATCATCACATAAAATGCTGAGCCCAAGCCCAACCAAGCCTGACCCCTCCAAAAACACTTTTCGGCTTCTGACACTGGGACACACCGGCTGTGTGGTGGTGCAAGCTATGCTCCTCTCCAGTGGGAAAAGGAACCAGCTAATTGGATCACTGACTCTCCACACTGTATTTCCCCACCAAAGAAGCTCCCTGCTTCGTCCTGGAGGAAGGACAGAGCACCCTGCACCGAGTCTGGCTCTCCTTCTCCCCCTGCCTGCAGGCCAGACATGATATTAATCAACCTATCAATCAATCAATCAATCAATCAATCAATAAATATTAAAATTCTATTATATTTTTTGGATTTACATTTTAAATAAATAATAATTACATTAATTAAGCGCAGACTGCTCACTTCTTTAATATTTTCTATTTATGTATTACAAAAAAGTTGGGGTTTTTTGTTTTTCTTTTTTTCAAGAGCCCGAGCCCTGCCCGACCTGACCAATCAGTGGACATTTTCATCCCAAACCCGATCCAACCTGTCGGGCTTTCAGAGACCCGTCAGGCTTGGGTTCAGACTGAGAACCCTTCACAGCCCCTCACTAATATGAGGAAGGTATTTAGGGAAGCCACCCTACATGCACCAGATAAAGAAACTATGTGGCTGTCAAATAAATATAGTGGAGTAAAAAGTACAATATATGCCTCTGAAATGTAGTGGAGTGAAAGTAGAGGGCACAGAAGCATACAATGGAAAAACTCAAGTTAAGTGCAAATACCAAGTTAAATACTTGAGTAAATGCACCTTGTTACTTTTAACTACTAGTTCATATATGAAGTTTACCCTATGAGTCATAATCCAGCTGACAGCAGGTTTGGACTGAGGATCTGTTGCTCTTAACAACAACTCCAGATCATGTTCAGGACAGCTTTGAAGCACTAAAAAATCCTGGCTCTGTCCAATCATCCACAATTTAATAAAGATAAGTTACTTATCCATATACGAAAAAACACAAAAAAAAAAAAAAAAAAAAAAAAAACAATTCTTCCAACTACTACTACAAACTAACTGGAAACAGCAATAACAAATCATTCAGGAACTGAAGAGACACTGATGCGAATTAATGACATGTTCATGTTTCAGAACAAATTGTGTTCTGTCAGGTTGACAGAAAAACCTAGATGTGCACTATAATATAGAAAATGTTTTCAAATAAACTCTATCTGTGATCTCAATATGGTATAAAATTACAATAGAAACTTGTGTTTTTTCATAATGTAAGGCCTGGGACAATATGAAAATTTCATGCCACAATTATCCTGACCAAAATATTCACAATATTATCCCTTTAATCATTAAAATGGCACTAAAACATACTGAAATCGTTTTGCCTTACATTTTGCCTCAAGTTGTGTTTTTTATTGCAATCCATGAAAAAATCGTATACTGTCCCATCCCTAGAATTGAGATTTTACAAAACTCCAGGCATATGAAACAGAAACCGTTAGAGCAAAGAAATCAGTATCAGCAAGTGAGAGAAACCAGAACAGAGGGAGAGGCAGAGATAGAGCGGAGAGTAAGCATTGCATTTTCCAGCCTCCTGAATAATTGAAGGGCAAGTTGTGTGGCGTTGGGTTGTGAGCTGTGTTATCTGCCACCCTGGAGCAGCTATCCAGTGGCTGAGCTGCTCAACACACACACACTGTCTCTGATCGATGAGAGGCCTGATGGCGTTACCCCGACATCTATTATTCACACACACTAACACTCCAGGTGCTACAATACTGGTGCTTAGTGAGTAATACAGTCAAGCTGGATCAAGTCAAGAGGTGTAAGGGTGCAGTCTGTGCAGACTCTATGTATGCAACACTGTGTGGGAGCACATCCTTATGGCAAAGTATGGATTCATGACAGTAAACTTTTCAAGAACACATGAATCTGTTTGTGTGTGTGTGTGTGTGTGTGTGTGTACAGCATGTATGCATCTGTGTGTTCATACCTTGTTGGCCCCAAGGCAAACTTTGACTTGATGAATTTAAAGATGTGTTCATCTGATCTGAGCTGAAGTGCTTTCTGAAAACACACACACACACACACACACACACACACACACACACAGATAAGGTCACCTTGTCAGGGCTAAAGATCAGCATGCTGAGAGTATAAATAAGTAACCTAAGCTGAGATCATATGGTGAGCTTACATCATACCTACGAGTTTTAGATATAAATGAGGAGGAGAGGAGGGCTGCCATAGAGGAAGGTAGGAGACTGTGATGAAACAGGGAAATGAAGAGGTAATGAAGAAGCACTAAGACAGAAAAGAGACAAGCAGATGAAGGAGAGAAGGGGAAGAAGAGAGATGAGCAGTACAGAGTACAAAACAAAACACTACAATAAAAGACCAGAGCAGACAGACAAGAAGAGAATATGTTGGAAATAGGAAGTGCAAGGAGGAGTGAGGAAGGATCAGAGCAAGGGAAGAAAAAGAAGAGGAGCACCTTGGCCAGGTAGTTGATGGTGACGGTGAGGAGGAGAACCATAGCACTGTGGAGAAGCAGTTTGCCCAGACGAACCAGCAGGCCTCCTGTCTTCAGACTAGACTGTATGAGCAGACAGCAACAACATATTTGTCAATACATGCAGTTTTTCTTCTCAATGCAATTTTGCATTTAGAAATTTGAAGAAAGCAGACACATACATCTTCACTTGTACACACTTTACGTTAGATACATGTATCTCTTCATCAATGTAGACATTAAATGTCAACACTGTCTGGCATGGCCGACATCATATTTTCAGATCATTCACATATTAACTCAGAGGTGAGACAAGGTAATTGCTCTGCAAGTCACTGGTAAGTTTCAAGTCTTGGCATAAAGTTCCACCTCAGATTCAAGACCAACAAGTCTCAAGTCAAGTCCAACAACTAAACTTTTTTCTGAGTCCTAAACAAGTCATTATGTGCTGTACAGTACAGGCCACAAAATTGTAGCATGGGTATATAAGTATACAGTAAGCCCATTGTAGACTATTTGAATACCATCAGCACAGACACCCAAGATTAATGTCACCAATTCAGTATCTGACCAAATGTCACCCCTTCTGTTCCTGAGATATGATGCTGAGTAATGGCCAGCAAAGTGCTTTATGCAGAAAATTGCGATGTGATGTCTTTAACCTTTTGCGTATAAATTGTCATCAATTCACTATTGTATGCTATTAGACATTTGTGCAACGTTTTGTCATAAATTTGCATATGAATTATTGAGTTATGGCCAAAAAAGTCACACTGACCTTGACCTTTGACCTTCAATCACCAAATTCTCATTATATTCTTCAGTCTAAGTGAATGTCTGTATCAAATTTGGAGAGATCCACTCAAGGTGTTCTTAAAGGGGAACTAATGTTTTTTTCAACCTGGGCCCTATTTTCCAATCTACTTTTGTCTAAATGAGTGATAGGATGTTCAATATTTGACATTTCTCCAGTACGAAGCTAGGGCTGACCTGCCTGCAGCCCGTGAGCACGCGCTATATTAAGTAATAGGGCACTCAGACAGCGTCAAACTTCAAAATACGTCCACTAAAAGTGCATTTTTTTTTCACACAGATAGGCTTGGATTGTTAGTATAATTATCCGACAACATAATGGAAAGGAGAAATGAATATCTGTGTTTACCTTTTAGCTGGATTCAGACATGTTCCTCTGCCTGTTGCTGCTCCCTCTCTCTCCTCGTCCACTCTTCAATTTCAATGAGCTCTGCATCCGTGTACGTCCGTGTACTACGTGTTCAAATAAATACGGGTGGTCATCAAATTCAAATGGCTAATCCAGATCCAGTTGGTCAAAAATTCAGGTAAAAATTCAGCCATGACTACTCCAAACAAAGTAACTCCTAGCGTTTATAAGGTCACTCCAGTGGTAACTTCCTGCAACAACTCAAATCTCGCGAGACGTGAGATTTCAGAGCCAGACTTTCACTCTCTGAGTGAGTGTTTTGACTTGCCATGACAAACACGTACGAACTTTTACCCGATTTTGGCCCACTGGATCTGGATGAGCCATTTGAATTTGATGGCCGCCCATATTTATTTGAACACGGAGTACACGGATGTACACGGACCCAGGGCTCATTGAAATTGAAGAGTGGACGAGGAGAGAGAGGGAGCAGCAACAGGCAGAGGAACATGTCCGAACCCAGCTAAAAGGTAAACTCAGACATTCATTTCTCCTTTTCCTTTCCGAGCCTATCTGTGTGATAAAAATGCATTTTTAGTGGACGTATTTTGACGTTATTTGACGCTGTCTGAGTGCCGTATTACTTAATATAGCGCACGCTCACAGGCTGCAGGCAGGTCAGCCCTAGCTTCGTACTGGAGAAATGTCAAATATTGAACATCCTATCACTCATTTAGACAAAAGTAGATTGGAAAATAGGGCCCAGGATGAAAAAACATTAGTTCCCCTTTAAGAGACCTTTAAGGACTGTCTCACACATGCAGCGCAAAGCTGCAGGTGCTCCAGCGGACTGATTTTTGGGTAGCATATATTACATATTTGTTGCACTGTAAAGCCCTGGGTTGGATAGAATTTTAACAAATCAGAATGTAACATAAAATGCTGCATGTGAATAAAACTTGTTCTCTTGTTGAAATTAAGTAAATCATATGAATGAAAGTTGAGCTGAGAGACTCAGACAACTGAAACTGATGTGAAACAACAACTGCTGGTCTTGCTAAACCTCGAAAACACACTGTCCACTTGTGATAATTGAGTCATTTTACAGAGTGATGTTTCTTTTATTTGACAAATGATGCTTGGCTGAGCACAAACACCAGCCTGCACATCAACCAGACAGCAGCCAACACTTTCATTTTTGCCATTAATATTAATTAGCTACATCTGAAATAATTTGCTGTCAAAGGAGTTTTTTATTTACACTAGTAAAAGATTTAAATAAAGTGCAGTCTGTTGTCTGGCAAATGAAGAGTTGATAATGCTGCAGTTTTTTAATAACATTTATTTTAATGTTTGGACTTGGAATGAGATCAAATCAAGGCTGTCAAAAATCAAGTCTGAGGTCACCAGAATCATAATTCAACATTGACTGGTCAGAGTCATGTGAGTCACGTCCACACCTCTTGAACATATTAGAATGGGTTAAACATGCCTGTTTTTAATGAAAACGTCTCACCATAGGAGCATGTGTTACAGTATACAAATTATCTAAAGCCACAAATGAAATCGTTCTCTCCAATTTGTGATTCTCAACCTTCCTCCATCTTTCTCTCCATTCCACTTTCATCCTGTCACATTAAATGTTTCTGTAATTGTTACTGTGATAAGATCTGATTTAACTAAATTACATTTAGACCTGACAGGAAAATGTGTCCCCAGCATACAAATTGGAATTAACTTCTGCAGAAGCAGACTGCAGCACAGGCCTCTTCACATCATGCAGGTTAATCTTCCATCTGTGTTTTGTAAACAAGCTACCACAACTGTCTGGATCTTTCTCTGTGGGAAGCTGATACACTAACAGTGTTATATTAATTTTCAGCGTTCCCAACTCCTGCCTTTTCCGATTTAGAACTTTTACTTTAATTCTCTGTATTCATTACTCTCTCTATCTCTCTCACACACACACACACACACGCACACACACACACACACACACACACCAACCTGGCAGTGTCTGATGAAGAGCGCAGCTACGATGAAGCTTAGGACCAGTGATCCCAGTATCATGGAGTTACAGAACTGGAGGAGCCACACACTCAGCAGACTGCTCACTTGAACCAGGTACATAGTGGTCACCTAGAGAAACACATACATAGTGTTATGAAACTTAAGCCAGTATCCTACATGTCACATGGCTGCAGACACCAGCAAAAAAAAAGTATACTGTTGGGGTTTCCATGAACTTACAAGTTGTAACACTGCATCATAGAGCTATTCAAGTCCACAAATTTAATTTAGTTTTGGCCATTAGTGGAGATATGAAATGGAAACCTCCAAACATCAGACATAAATCTCAAATGTTTCATCTTTGGAATAGACTTGTGAAGATGTCTGATCAGACACTGACTAAAAAGATATTTAATTTAGGACAATTTGCACGGTCATCTCTGGGCTAATGTGTTGAAATACTTATTTTATTTGAACACTTTGTCATTAATTTTCCAGAACAAGTTACTTTGTGATATTAAGAAGATTAGGATCAAAATGTTTCTCTTGTACGCCTCTGCGAACCAGTCAAGTTGCACTTAAAGTTTACATTTTGCCCCCAGCAGCACAGAAGATCTATACAATCAGCACAGTTTTAGGGTGGACACCTAAGATTAGCTTCACTAATTCAGTATCTGACCAAATGTCTCTTCTTCTGTTTCTGAGCTCCTGTTCCTAAGCTGAATGACATTGAGTAATGGCCAGAAAAGTGTTTTTGCAGAATATTATGATGTAAGAGTAAAGTTGACCTTTGACCTTTTGGATATATAATGTCATCACTTCATCATTTTATACTATTAGAGATTTGTGTGAAATTCTGTCATAATTAGCATACAAATTCCTGGGCTACGGCCAAAACATGTTTTGTGTGGTAAAAGTAACCTTGACCTCTGACCTTTCACCACCAAATTCTAATCAGTTTATTTTTGAGTCCAGGTGGATGCTTCTGTCAAATTTGAGGAAATTCCCACAAGGCCTTCTTTAGATATTGCATTCACAAGAGTGAGACAGACGCAAGGTCACAATGACCTTTAGCCTGGTAAGACCATCCTGATGACGTGAGCTCAACATGCAGGAGTGATCGCCTCGACAGACAAACTCCTTCAGCCAGTCAGCATAACAAAACACCAGGGAACATCTTCACCACCAACAGAGCCAGGTGATAAATCACGTTTTTGACAAATCCAGACAGAAGAACGGTGAAAATGTCTCTTCCTCTGAGAAACTCTGCAGGTGCATATTCTTGTTCTTTTTTAATTGTTCCTATTGACTCTATTTCTGCAGTACCTTCACTTGTTGCTGTGTTTACTCTAATAACATTAGAGTTAGCGCTTTCTGCTTCGGAAGCTGCCGTTACTGCTCTGCAAGCTGCAGTTTGCATTTCACTTAATCAACTACAATGCAGTTCCTGATTGGCTGCTTACATTGTCAACTATGGTGCGGATCCCTGATTGGCCCCAATTGGAATTTAATTTCTGGAAATGAGGTAACACAGAGTCCAGACTGATACAGAGACCAAAACAGAATGTTGAGCTCACATCATCAGGATGGTCTTACCAGGCTAATTTGACCTTTGACCATCAAAAGATAATCAGTTCACCCTTGAGTCCAAGTGACATTTGTGCCAAATTTAAAAACATTCCCTCAAGGCATTCTTGTGATATCACTTCTACAAGAGTGGGATGTACAGATGAACAACCCAAAAACATTGTGACTCTGTCCCAAAATTGCAAACTTACTACAGTGTAGAACTTGATGTGAAGTATGATTAAACAAAAGACAAAAGATCTCTATGGGCACAGTTACGCTCAGGAACATTACCATCAGCTCCTGAAATCGGCAGCTTTGCTTCCACTCAGACACAGGCAGACTTCTTTTGTTGTGAGCGAGATAAAATTGAGAATTAAGTTCATTTTACTGAGGAAATTTTGAGGAAATAAGGATGTGCTTTAAAGTAAAATGACATCAATTATGTGGATTACTTCTGGCTGGATGACTGTGAAAAACCTGAGTTGTACTTCAGAAAAGGAATCTTTTTTGTGGCAGATTTTATTCACGAAGCTTGGGATAGAAAAATATTTTGATTAAGACTGGGTTTTAAAGGTCTAGTGTGGAGGATTTAGTGGCATCTAGGGGTAAGATTGCAACATTGCAAGCATGTAGAAGAACTATAGTGGAAAACACAACAACGCCATTGGCCCTATCTAGAGCCAGTGGGGTTTTTTTTTGTTTGTTTGTTTTGGGCTGGGAAACAATATGGCGGACACCATGAGCTGACACCAGAGGACCAGCTCTGTATGTAGAAAAACAGCTCATTCTGAGGTAGTAGAAACACAATGATTCTTAGTTTCAACTAATAAAAGCATAGGTATAAATATTATAAAACATTTCTGCCAATATGTCCCCTAAATCCTACACACTAGACCTTTAAAATAACCTGTAATTGTATATTAAAATGAAATGTTTAACCACTGCAACTGTACTTTTGGTGTCTTGAAAACCCATGAGGGTTAGGAACTTAAGGTCAATCAATCAATCAATCCATTAAGTGTATAGTATAGAAATTCCTCCTACCAATGGCAAAGAGAGGTGAGAAGAGGGAAGAAGTTGTTACTGAGTGCTTAAGTTACAGCACTAAAGCAACCACTTATTTAGCTTATGCACTTGCCAAGCAATATTCATTCAGCTGAATCGGCACCATTTTGGGGTCCAGTATCCAGTTCGCATTATATTTCCATGGAATTGATTCTTTAGGAATCTGGTCTGTCTTGTAGCCATACCTGTGTAGTTGTTAAAAAGTCGACACAGTCCAGAGTGTATATGATGAGAGCCTGAACAAGCAGGATGAACTGGTTGAACTGCCACGTTAGACAGAAACAGAACGTTGTCACGTACATCAACCACACCATCACCTTCTGAGGAGGGAAACACACACACCAGCACACTGGGATTAGATACTTAAACATGTCACCAACTGCATATATATGCATTCCTGCTGTTCTGCTGCCTCCTTCAGAGATGGAGGATTTTTAAGCAGACGGATTGGGTGTCAAGGCCAATCGATGTGCTCAATAGCTTTGATTTAGTGTGGGTTTGTGTGTACCTGCTGTAAGGAGGTGAGCTGAGGCCTGAGGTAACAGGTGATAGCGGCAACCTGCAGCGCTAGGAAGGGTAAAGACCAGTTCTCTCTGAGGGAGATGGTGAACTCCACGCGAGTGGTATCTACCCTGATAGGAGGGAGAGAGAGTAAAGGAAAATCAATTTTAAAAGTCACATAATATCAAAATGTCCAACTCAAAACCAAGAACTAAACAAAGTAAAACACACTGCACTGTTACAACTTCCTGTGGTTAGTGCTGACGCTGTAAAACAACCACAGGAGTTAAGACAAGGTGAAGGGTTGACAGAATAGCCAGAGGCTGACAGATCAAAGTGAATGTCATAGTCTGTGGTCTCCACAGCTGTTGTACAGCCTGACTGCAGTGGGCATAAATGAGCCCCTGAAGCACACTGTTTTACACCTGGGTGAGATGACCTGGTGACTGACTGAGCTGTTCATCTGCCACAGCTCATCATGTAGTGGATGAGAGGCATTATCTAGGAGGGTTTTGATTTTGTCACTGACTACAGACTGTCCAGTTCCAGCCTGACCACAGAGCTGACCTTCCTGAGTAGCCTGTTGAGTCTGCTGGCCTCACCAGCCTTGATGCCTCCTTGCCAGCAGACCAGGCCCATCATGATACCAGAAATTTTGTAATTGATACCAATACCAGTGAAATCTCAGGACTCTCAATACCCTATTCAAAACAAAACAATAAATACCATATACTTAACCATAGACTCCTTTACAAAAACCTAGGGATGCGCGAGATTAGTCTGAGTTGTCTAAACGATTAAACATCTGCCCCCTTGCTAGTCGGCACCAGAAATATTAGATGGTCAAACCAATAAGTGTTTTATTCATGTACAAGGCAGCTTAAAGGACAACTTCGGTATTTTTCAACCTGGGCCCTATTTCCCCATGTGTATATGTGCGTATGATTCATAGGTACAACTCGTTCTAAAATTGGTTCAGTATTGAGGGAGGCGGATGCAACCGGAGCCGCGAAACAAGCTAAAACGGTAACGGGGGCAAATACGTCCCGTATAAGTTTGCGCATTAAAAGTGCTTTTTTTGGCCACTGACCGGTTCAGATCGCCAGTGCTATGAGTGGAGTCAGCTGTCAGTCAGTGTTGGAGCAGAGAGGGGGAGGGCGGCCTCGCTTGGTACTGTAAGTGAGTATGTGTGTATGAAGTGTGTGTTTTTTTCACCACTGACCGGTTCAGATTGCCAGTGCTATCTCTGTAAATAGCATATTAACTTAGCCTTTCCCTTACCTCTGGGCTGTGTGATGTCACGATCTTTGTTCCACTGTGTCTGTAGCTCTCTCTGCTCGTGGGACAGCCGTTTTCTTGAGGAAGAGGTGTTTCGGGATTGGATGTCTTCTCTTCCTTCGGCTGGCAGTAGTCATCTTGGGAGAAGTGAGCACTGCAGACCCAATGGTCTGCAAGGCGCAGTGTCTGGAGAGGAGTGTTAGCATCCATTTGTAGCACAACTAGCCACAACTTCAGCATCTCGCCGTCCGACAAAGGCAGCCTGTGAAAGCTGTACGGGGTGTTGCGTGACATCCTGTCCTTGCGTTCGGGAAAAAGGCCCGTTTATGTGAGCACTCCAAAAACTCTGGTAACACTCCAGGGGGTAGCATGTAAAAGACTCTGTCCCAAACTCTGACTCTTCTAGCGTAACACACACACACTTCATACACACATACTCACTTACAGTACCCAGCGGGGCCGCCCTCCCCCTCTCTGCTCCAACACTGACTGACAGCTGACTCCACTCATTTACACTCACCACTGCCCCAGGGCCGCTACAATATGCTATCTACAGAGATAGCACTGGCGATCTGAACCCGTCAGTGGCCAAAAAAAGCACGTTTATACGGGACGCATTTGCCCCCATTTCTGTTTTAGCTCGTTTCGCGCCTCAATACTGAACCAATTTTAGAACGAGTGGTACCCATGAATCATACGCACACATACACATTGGGAAATAGAGCCCAGGTTGAAAAATACCGAAGTTATCCTTTAACTGTCATGCAGCTGCCCACCACTAGTGGGGGCTACAGAGCAGTCAGATGGCAGTCCCCTTCCCCGCGATAATGCAAGACTAAACTGAAGTTTTAAAACAGCACGGTGGAAAATTGGAGAGATGTCCTCTCGCAAAACCAGTGCATCTGTGTATGTACCCGCCCTCTGAAGTCGACTGTCAACCGCACTCAGCTGCTTTTTATAATAAATGTTACTCAGCGACTTATGTTCTCTAAACATTTGAATTGTAGGGTTCACTGAGAGAGTGCCAGGCTGACATGTTTTTGACAATCTTGGTGGGGTCCAGTGTGTGGAGGAGAACAGGGTTCCCAGCAGAGGTGTGAATGGGGGCAGAGATGATAGATGAGGGCACATGAGGGCGGTCGTTCTGTGTCAAGGAGGCAGGCTTGCCGCTGCCTGTCATTCATTTCATCCCATCCCACACTTCCTTCATACTGTTCTGTCCCATTTTGACCTCAATCTTCTCCCTGTAGTTGTTTTTGACCTGTCTCAGTTTCCTCTTTACCTCCTAGCAGTACACTGCAGTATACAAGGTTCCAGTGAGTTTCAAGTGAAATACTAATATGCCTCCAACTCTGCTGTTGTCTTTTTGATCATGGTAAGTTTTCCGAAGTTGTAAAAAATTCAACATTTTGGGAAATATGCTAATTCCTTTTTTGTTAGAGTTTGATGAAAATGCTGATACCACTCTCATGTCTGTAAGACTGCAAACAGGGGAAAACAGCTAGCCCACCTCTGTCCAAAGATAACAAATTCTGACTGCCAACAACTTCGAAAGTTGACTGATCAACACACCATCTCATTTAATCTGCACACAAATAGAAATGCAGGATATGACAAGTTGTGATTTTACAGGATTTACATGCTGTAAACATGTTTTGGACGGTGACTTCCAGGAAGACTGTCTTTGTCTTTCACATACATAAATGTTGATGTTACTTCAAAACAACACAGCAAGCTGCTCATTTCCAGTTTGACAGTCTCCTTTCTGTCACCGGCTACTGCAGACAGGACACAGATTTAGTATGTGTGCAAAGGATCAAATCTTTAACCAATTCAGTACAACAGACTGAATCATTTACCAAGTGTTTACTCCTCTAATACCAGAATAAAAGCTTCAGTAGGCGTTACTACCAATAATAATGACAAGCCCTTGATGGCATTGGCTGGTGTTGAAGTGCACATGTTAAAGGCACACTTCACCAACAATTTGATCATTTGTATGCCAATTACTCACTCTGTGTTATGTTGAATTTGTGAAGAAAACCTCTGTTTGTTTTTTTTTGTTTTGTTTTTTTGCATGCCTCTGTTATGAACAAAAATTCGAGAAAATTCTTGATTAATTGAAGTCATTGGGGACCGTGTTCAACAATAGCAAAAATACATATCAAAACATCCAGTTACAAACAACAACTCGCGCAGTATAATCCAAGTCTCATTTATCCAGCGAATGCTCAGTACTCCCAACACACATGCATTTTTTCTAAGACCTTACTATTTAAAACACGAGTGCACACACCTGCTCAGGTGTGCTACTGATCTGTACTTTTTTATGCAAGTATTTTAAATTGCAAGTGAAAATGTAGCAAAAAAATGCTTCCAAAAGTTTGGAATGAAACGTTTGGATTTATTTGCATTTTTTCGTTTCGTCTCGTCTCGTCGTCCTCCGCTTATCCGGGTCCGGGTCGCGGGGGCAGCAGCCTCAGCAAAGAAGCCCAGACAGTCCTCTCCCCAACCACCTCTGTCAGCTCTTCCGAGGGAACCCTGAGGCGTTTCCAGGCCAGCCGGGCGATGTAATCCCTCCAGCGTGTCCTGGGGCGGCCCCGAGGTCTCCTCCCGGTTGGACATGCCCCAAACACCTCCCAAGGGAGGCGTCTGGGAGGCATCCTTACCAGATGCCCAAACCATCTCAACTGGCTCCTCTCGATGTGGAGAAGCAGCGGCTCTACTCCAAGTCCCTCCCGGATGTCCGAGCTCCTCACCCTATCTCTTAGGCTGAGCCCAGCCACCCTGCGGAGGAAACTCATTTCGGCCGCTTGTACTCGCGATCTCGTTCTTTTGGTCACTACCCAAAGCTTGTGACCATAGGTGAGGGTTGGAACGTAGATCGACCGGTAAATCGAGAGCTTCGCTTTCTGGCTAAGCTCCCTCTTCACCACAATGGAC